TTTTACCCCTCCTAATAGTAGAAACCACACCAAGTGGGATGACCTGAACAAATGAAATGCTGCCCAATTCAATCAAAACCTGGTTGGGCCTTTGGCGGGGGAGTGGCCGGTCGGTCAATCCGGACCTGAAATTCTTTGCCAAGTGCAGAAGAGGTTCCATTGGTCCACCGTAGAACTCAGTTGCGCAGACTACTACATACAGCTAGCTAACCACTAACCACCAACTAGGTAAGCTGCAACTGATAGACCGTCCGGACTCCAAAGCTCACGAGCGAGCCAATCTCGACCACAGTCACCGTCCACCACTCCGAAACCAATACCTTTTCTAGTACCCATTACTTCTGAATTACCTCAACAAGATTAGTTACAGAAGAAAGAAACCAAAATGGGATTCATCTCCCGCATTATCACACTCTTCGGCCTCGTCCTGCTCGCCCATGCGTACGTTGAACACACCCTACCTACATTGATCTCTCCACTTTACACCACATCATATCAGATCACTAACAAGGCATACGTATAAATAATTTAGAGGCTACTCCGCCCACGAACACACCATCCTGTACAGCAACACCGCAAGCACAGCAAGCGGCGGCACCGCCCTTCCGCTCGACATCGTCATCGAAGCCCTCGCATCACTAGTCCTCGTCTCGGCGGGACTTGTCCTCGGCGCAGAAAAGCTCAAGCCGATTAGTTGGAGTGAATGGGCGGGTCAGATTGAGCGCGAGGGTGGCGGGAGGAATCCGTATCGGAGGTTGGAGGAACGGTATGGGTTTTGGGATGTTAGGGTGAGTTTATTTTCTCCCTTCCCTTCCCTTCTTGCAGATGTAGAGGATTGGGGGTATTGAGCTTATGCTGATGTGTTGGGGATTTTAGGCGAAGAGAAAGGAGTTTGCGGATTGGATGAAGGGGGAGGTTCCTGTTCCTGGTAAGGAATGAGTTGAGGGGATTGGGTTGGTTGGTTGGTTGGGTTTATTGGGTGTGGGAAGGGTGTATTATAGTTGTACGTTTGTGGTTGATAAATTGATGGGATTTGGAACGAATATGATCTTTGATTGATTTGATATGATTGCTTATGATGGTTTGTCTTGGTTTGCTTGTATTGGATTGGGTGCTGATGGTGTGAAAGGGCTTGATATCAAGCCATGTGCTTGTTCGGTTTGGTGATCTACTGGTATGAATGTGGTATATCAGGATGCTAAAAGGGCGTGCATATTATAGTCACTGAAGCATCTATGGTTTGAATGATCCGAAGTGTCGTAGAGCAGCGTCGGAAACTAGTGGAAGCAGATAAGATGCTGGCATGAACAGAATACTTAGTGGTAGGTTTACGTCTACACAATACCACTCACACACCAGACTTGACTGTGACTACAAATGCCTCAACCTCTACAGTCCTGCCTACGTGCAGATATGCTCTACGCCATGGGCAAGAAAGTGGGATAGTCCAGAACCGCCCACATAACGCCCAATACCCACCTGCAACGCGTATACCACCATCGCATCCATCACTGACATCCAACATATCCAACCCTGCCATGGAGAATTCTTCCGTAAGATTAACAACGTTCTTCGCGCCCCGGGCTTCCGCGGACCATTATCCGTCATGTTGATTGGAATGTTGTCCGTCCGGCGAACGGCTCGGTCTAGCCCCGGAGCCCAAGAGAAGTAAGTAAGTGGGTGTGATGGATGGAGTGCCAATGTTGAATGCATTCATTCTTGGATGAGCTTGCGCTGCGCTGCACGGCACGGGATAGTGGCATGTAAGTAAAAGTGTGCGTGTGAAGTAGTAGTCGTGTACATGAGGACGCGTCCATCCATCGATATTGTCATCAACATTGTCATCTCTTGAGCGTTTTCAAAGATGGGTTCGGGAATCATGTCCGGAGCTGGATATTGTAGACTTTAGGTTCCCCCCTTCCTATTTCAATAGGAGTTTGCGCGGGATGACGCGGCAGGACAATGGGGGAGGGTAATCGGTGTAGACATAGTTGACAGATGATGCTATGTTAATGTTGCTTGCTGGTAGGGTAAGTAGTTAGTTGTGCAGTCTGGGATAATTGGACACAGCAGGTATTGAGTAAAAGCAGGAAGTTGTCTTCAAGCTCGTGGCAGGTGTCTTTGGCCTTCACTTTCTTAGTTCAGTCATCCATCCAGGTTAGTCTTGCAGGTGACAAGAGACAGGCCACGCAAGATTCAGTAGATCATTGAATTGTTAGTGAGCGAATATGCATTTTATAGTGTGGTTAATCATCCATCGCAGCGGTATGCTCATCATGATAATTCTGGAAAGTGGTTGAGGCAATTCGGACCCCTCTTGCCTGACACACCCCAGTTCTCAATTTTGGACTTTCCATTCGGTTCTATTTAAGGTGCTGTGTCGCAAACCCTCAACCCGTCTTGGCTTATACCAGCTAACCGAGTCGTCCAAGACGGGAGGTCAAGAACATGTCCAATAGGGGGAATTTACTTGAATTAGCAGTTCGTAAACGAGGAAGGAGATGGTGGGGTAAGTTGATGGGTTGATTAGTTGGGATGGAAGAGAAACAAGCGCATGTCTAAAGCAAGACACGGACAACACAACGGCAAACAGGTTAGGCCTTCTGACTGGTTTGCATGTAAGACATATCACGGTGACATGGAGGGTAGACGTAAGTAGTCCTCTGAAGTGGTTCAGATTGTTTGGGTAGGATGGATCTGAGAGCAAAAGCGATCAATATCCGATAGTGATTAGTGAGGCATTATTCAATGGACATGGAAATAACAACGGGCATGGAGATGATGGATGCTCCAAGTGGGTATGAATACGAAGATCTATTAGTAGTAGGTATCTATAGGTGCAAGCATAAGGATGACAAGTCCTTTTCTAAGTACTTCCGTAGCATTTTACTGTGCTCAGTCTAGGTCTAGTTAGTCTAAAGACGGGGGAATTGGTGGGCAATAATAGTCAATAATGAGGAAAAGCAACGTAACCCAACCACCACTTCCAGCCTTACCCCGTAACCCCGAGAACGATAGGTCTTTTTTCTTTTGTTTCTTCTTTTCCCCTGCCTTCACGGGGGTAAAGACAGGCAATTTTAGCGACCACAAAGAAAATAAAACTCCGGACCATGGACCCTGTTATGTAACGTGTATGTGAGTTTTCACCGAAAGGACATCTCAGTTCAAAGGCTGGCGCCATCTACTACTTATTGATTGATTTCTCATTATAAATTAGTAGCAGTATTTATTCAATGCTCAATTTGGGTGGCGCCCCCACCAATTGGAGTGGAGGGTCTCAATCTCGACCGAATTAACGGGGGAAAATGGAGAGATGGCGTCCGAGGGTTGAGATTGAGACAAGGGCGGGATGGAGAGAGGGGCGGTTGAGCATTGGCAGGGTTAGAGAGAATTCTTAGCCTCGCCTCGATACTACGGGGATGTTTCCCATCTTTTAACCCTTGTGCCCTGCCATGCGTCATGTTCATCCCTGGACGAGGGAGGGAGGTAGAGAGTTGAATCGAGTATGAATTCAGTGTGTTTATTATTGCCCAGTTGATAGGTATGGAGTACGTGTGCGAAGCCCTACTGTATTTCCCTTGCATCACGCGGGTGGTAATTAAGTAAAATGTCCGTATCCGACCCTCTTGGAGGCCGGAGATTTGAGACCCCTGATACCGCTGTACCTTACGGTAGACTGGTCTGGCCTAGTGCCATGTCTTAAATGGAGGAGGGCCGGGGAAAAGTTAATATGAAAGAAGAAAAGTAAAAGAAAGAAAATAAATTAATAAAGAAAAGGATTGATCGACACTTCCCAAGTCCATGCACACCTCGCATCGGTTGCATACGTACGCTTTGCTCATGTAGGAACAAGACCAGACAGCAACTGTGCTCTTGGCATCTTGCAGGTCAACTATACTATTTACTAACTAGTATTGTCCCTCTCTTATTTATGGTTGATGTTAATTATTTTTCCGGATCGGCTCTACTCCGGAAGGAGACCGAGAATGAAAGGTGCTTAGAAGTTCTTATGAGCCATGCAGGGGTCGAATCACGTTCTATTGTGCGGTGGTGCCGAAGGGCTCGTCATGATCTTACGTCAGGTATCGATTGTGAGGGTTGGGTTGGATGGATGATGCGTCTTTGGGTGGTTTGTTACGTGGACAAGCAGGATGTGGCAGTAAACGAGGCTTGCTATCGGTTAAGCATTGCCGTTGCTACAGTATCTTCCATATCACCAGCTTGTCTGTCGGTCGAACCCGTCAGTTGTTGTTCTTCTTCGGAGTGGCGTGCCTGACGGCTATGAAAGGCTAGACTGGTCGGATGTACTGCCTCGTATGACAAGCTTTGAATGCGTGGCTGGGAAAGACAAGACAGGATAGGACAAGGCATTCATGCGGTGGCAGGCATGCTTCGTACGTTAGGACTTGAATAGTCTCTTTTGCCTTTTTTTTCCCTGCAATTTGCCAAATTGGCTGGTCCATGCGGGCCGGTGGTGCGCATACCAGAGCGGCCCTAAGGATGGGTGACTCCGGTAATCTAAAGATTTAGTGGGAAGGGTGAAGGCCTGCCCCTTCAGTGGTGCTGTGACCAACGTCTATTTTCCTCTGTATTTCTGATTAATGTTCTAGTTGAGTAGATATTTTGTACCACTTGCTCCCTTGAGTCTAGGCTTGAAACCTTCAAAACAAGGTTAGAATGAGTATCATGCCCAGGAGATATCCCTTAATAGAAATTTGATCAGTGACCCATTAAACTCAGAACAGATGTAACAAGAGAGACAACAACAACAAACAGATTGAGAGACTGGGGCTTCCCAATTTTTCTTTGCTTTTCTCCCACCCCCATCATTAATTGCTTCCATTCCCACTTCGGTCAAGGGCGAGATTTGAACCCAGGTTGCATTCACATTATTCGTACCAACCGCGGTGGCTCCAGGCGTGTAGATCTATAGGACACGACCATCATTGGGCGGGGCGCCCGCAGCAGGAGTGGATCGCGGCAGCTGACGCTGTGTTCCGATGGCCTCCCCAAAAATAGCAAAACAGAGCAGAGGTATACGCAACCCTCTTGCGGAGGAGACCATTCAGAATGCTGACTAACTGGACTAGTGGCCCGTCTTGGGGCACTTGAGTTGCGCCATCTGATGATTGTTTACTCTCCAGTACGCCTTGGCATTGGTCTTTCCAGCATCGTCCTGCACGCTCGATGCTGGCTCGTCCCGCCCTCTCAGCCACGGGCAGCGACTCAGACTCATCCAGAAAATGCGAGACGCGGACCGAGCTGCTGATGCTGCCCTTCGCCCGGTGGGTCCCTTTTCCCTCCATTGCCACTAGGAGTGTAGAGTGTAGACGAGGAGGTTGTGAAAGGTGTGCAGACAGGGCTGATGGAGATTGCTGAGGGATGAATGGCACCTGTTGTGTGCTGCAATTGCTTTTGGTCTTACTTTTGATTTTCTTTTTTTAATTCCTAATTTTATTATTATTATTATTTGGGGCTCGAATTTCCTCTTTCCACTCCCCCTGCTTTACTCTATTTAAAGGATGCCCCTGCGCCTGTCAAGCACTGCGTCCCTTTCCCTTCTTCCTCAAGTGATATAAAGTATCCCCACGGTCGTTCCACGAACCTCAACAACTTTCGCTTCACCTCTTCACTTCAAAGACACTCGCTAGTCTATCGATCGCCTTCGCACGATCCACTTCAATCTACCACCCGAGCACTCAGATCTCGATATCACTCGCTAGCAAGATGCGTTCTTCCATCCTCCTCGTCGCTTTCTCGGCTCTCGCCGCTGCTCAGTCCTCCGTCGCTGTGGTAAGAAGCCCTCTAGTCCTATACTAGTCTTATGCCTGAGTGAATGCTAACATACAACCCCAGCCCCAGGGTCAGCCCTCCGCTGCTGTCACCTCTTCCCCTGTCATCCCCACTCAGGGCTCTCTGCCCGCTGGTGCTTCCAGCGCTCTTATTGGATCTAGCGGTGTTCCTTCTTCCTTCGCGAAGTCGGCCAGCGCCTCTGCTTCTACTTCCACCAAGACCTCCACCAAGACCTCCAGCTCCGACTCTTCCACCTCCACCAGCGACTCTTCCTCCAAGAGCGGCTCCAGCTCCAGCTCCAGCACCTCTTCCGGCGCTGGTGTTCCTCTCGCCACCGCTGGCCCCGTCGGTCTTTCCGTCGTGGCTGGTGCTGCCCTTGCCGCTTTTCTGTAGATGAAGAGCGCAAGTGGTCTTCCTTGCCCTTAGAGGGAGTCGAGTCTCGATCGTCACACACTCCACTCTGGTGGGGAACAGCAGATACCCATGGCGATCGAACCTTCCATCCATTCTAAGCCGCAAGGGACAGGCGCTATGAAATCAAAGGGGACGGATGTTCTGCGGTTTTCTTTCTTCTGACATATGTAACATTGCTGGGAAGGCTTTTATTTCTTTGGATCTTCCTTTCAAAGGTTCACCGCGTGTTCACCAGAGATTCATAACTGCGGCGCACATAAGATTTCAATTCTCTAGTAATTTTTAATCGTTTAATGAGGACATGGTAAATACACACATTACACAGGGATTTTCTGGAATGCCGAGAACCGCCCCTTTCATTTTAGATCCAACCACTTGTAAGTCTGAAGTAGTGAGAGCTTAATTTGAAGGGGTAAAAAGCAATTAACTAGAGACTTAAACGTAGATTCCATCCCAAGTCAGTTGTGGGACCTACCGTTCATGGCATGGGCTTGAGCCTATCCACAACCCCAGATCTAATACATTGACAAGTCTTGCGCCACCCTGAAAGAGACTAATCAAAATGTGTAATTTCGAAACCAACCGTTATAGAGGCTCTTAAACGGCCGCGTTTCCAACTTGTAGTTTAAATCTCACGTGCTTTGACGTACTATTATGCACTCGTCAAGCATTTATTCTATAGTCACTTCTTGTCCTGACTGATGCTTGACTCCAGCGACCTCTATTCTTCTATAACAGACCAACATTACTTCACAAGGTGAACTCTCGGACGTCTAAAAGCCTACTAATATCGCAAGTAATAGATATACGCCACTCAGACTACCGCACGCCACCACTTTCTTGGTGCCTTATTACTCATACCATCATGCCATCATGCCATCAAAATAGTAGTAGTCTACTCTGTACAGTAGGACGCTTGCATTAGCAACTGAGTAAGTAATCTAGTGCTGCTATCACCACTCGTTGGTTCTAAGCTACTAGTTATACACGGCTATTGAACTTAAGGAACTATATTATCACTACCTTGTGAGTTTTCCACCCCTTATACTAGCCACAAATCATACAGGGACGGGTGAATACTACAAATGAACCCTGCCTGTATTTTAAAATGAGAGAAAGGGAAGTAGAGGTACGTAGAGGAAGCCATAGTAAGCGGTTGCTGAGGATATCGGATTAGAACTTGTGGCTATCTAGATCCTGGAGCTCCTCGTCATAGGAGATGATGGAGGGGTAGGAAGGCCATGTAGGTAGCAGAGGATCTGGTGGAGCGTTTGGCTACGCTGAATGGTCTGAAGGTTGCTGTGGTACTGAAAGTGCTCTGAAAAGACGTTGCTGTATACAAGGAGATAATTGGAGGTCGCATAGTTTGGCCTCCATCTTGAGGATGGATACAAAGTAGCGATATATTAACTTACCTTCCTACCTGTGCTAAAGCTGGTGCCAGTAGGCTAGATGGTCCAGTTGGCAAGGCCACGGCACTCAGTAAAGAGAGGCTAGGTTTTTTGCCCAGTGGGGCCGGGTTCGATCATGACTTTGCGCCCTTCCTTTTTTCTTTGTTTCAATTAGTTGCTTAGCTACCTAGCCATGATAGTCTTGGTTCGCTTAGAGAGAAGATAATCAACGGTGAACAGGACTAGATCGTACGTTTGGCACGGCCCCAACAAGAGTAGCTAGCTTTTTGCCCTTAGCTTTGGGATCAAACCGATCCTGCGCTCTTCCTTTTGTCTATCACCTTGTTGGGCCAGATCCGCCAGTTGCCTTCATCCAACAGATAGGCTACAGTGGTAGTTCCCGTCTGCTAAACACGCTGCTTGAATGTTCTGCTCTTTCTCGATGCTCTAGGTAGTAAGTAGTTAGTTATAGTTAAGTAATAAGTATGGGGTGTCATGCCGTAAGCAGCTCATTACATTTCCTAAAACGCGCAGTTCAGACGCGAATACACGTGACTGATACACGCGTGCTGTTTCCTTACCCGATATGGACTAGTGAACAGCGCTTCACCTCATCAAAACAAAGAACAACAAGCGGCCGTCGGGGGCAACGGATCGGGACCGAGCCATCATCATCCACCTTGCTGCGAATCAACTCTCGCCTTGCCCGACTCTCACGGTCCACAAAGGGATTCTCGTCTGTGTCACTCGCCTAGATCGACAGGGGCAGACGAACAGACCACGGCACAACCATTGATCCCACACGAACCTAGCCTCTGCTAGCAACGCAACACCTTCGGCCTCAAATTTGAGGTCGACGTCAATTAGCCAGTATGGTAAGTTACCTTGCTGTCCAATGCCAATCAACCTTTCCTCGGTTGAGCGACGATCGTCTGACAACCTCGTGTTCTCCCTTCAGGTATCATCTCTACGACGTCTCGCAGCGGACCATGCAGCATTGCACGAAGAGCTCCCTCCCAACTATCTCTTTCCCTCCGACGATGCCTCTGCCGGGGACGACTTGACACAGCTCACCACCCTCCTGGCCGGGCCACAGGGTACACCATACTCGCAGGGCCTATGGCGATTGCATCTGAAGATGCCGGAGGACTATCCTAAGAGTCCACCAAAGGCCACATTCAGGACAAGGATATGGCATCCGAATGTGGAGGAATCGACGGGTGCAGTCTGCGTGGATACACTGAAGCGGGACTGGAAGCCCAACTTGACTTTGAAGGACGTTCTAATCGTATGTATCCTTACCATATACTGTCGACAATTCCTGATCCTCATCTGACATGGTTCTTAGACAATCTCCTGCCTCCTCATATATCCCAACCCGGACTCCGCACTGAACTCCGCAGCCGGCGCACTTCTCCAAGAGAACTACGATGCGTTCGCCCGCCAAGCGAAACTCATGACCTCCATCCACGCCCCAGTTCCATCAGACTTGGCTTCAGCGGTATCCGAGGCGAAAACGAGAGGTGAAGACGCCGACACAGTCATCCCAGAAGAGCAAGAATTGTCCCGCTCGCTACGACCACGAAAGGGTGCCAGAATCGCCTCAGTCACTATGAAGAAGCGAACAACTCGGAGAAGTGCCGCAGAGAGCTCGAGCTCACGGGCACTATCTCATCAACCTAGCACACCAATTGAACGAGAAGCACAAGAACCAGAAGAACCTCACGACACCCTCACCCTTGATACGACCGTCTCCGACAGTGAATCAGAAACATCTACCAACGCCAGCAAAGAGAACGACCCTTCCCTATCTCCTTCCCCAGTCCGACTCGCACCACCTAGCATCCGCAAAAACGCTTTCGGGAAACGTCCCCTTTCCGTCCTAACCGTGCCAATGGACGTAGACGACCCCTTCTCCATGGACACAGAAGACACAACAACAGGCGGCATGTCCGCATCCGAGAAGAACATCGCAGCAAATCATCCCAGCGAGCTCCCGGAGCGCGGCCACTCTCCACAGAGAAAGTCCCCGAAGCTGTCCGTACTCGACAAAGGCATCAACTCATCAGGTCGGATACGCGAGGATGTCCAGATTTTCGAAGACGATCCCGACCCTGCCGAGCTAGGCTTCATCCGACGAGCCAGCGGCGACGGCAAGGAAAACCCCCGAGCCTTAGCCGGTCTAAAAGATACCGACCCCGCAATCCGGATGTCTAATCCCAACTATCCCCTCACGATTCTTGCCCCCTCGGCATCGAGGTCCGTCTCCTCCGGCTCGCGCCTATCAAAACCAATCACGGGGTCACGAAAAGTCTCATCCTCGAACGGCAAAAAAGCCAAACCGCGCATCGGCATTCGCAGACTCTAGGCATACTAATGACCACTGCTACTTATACCCAAGCCTGTATCTTCTCAATACCCTCTTTCTATTCCCCTTCCGCTACCTTACTACATACCATACCGCTACCACCCTTTAATACCCAATCGAACATAGCCGCAACCACTCATGAACACAAATACTACATGCATTACATTGTGAATGAAATTCATCCAAGACAACATTCAGCGTCGTCACGTGGAACGAAAAATAACCCCGACAAAGGAAATGGATACCTCCTTCTATATCGTATTGATTGCTACATTACCAGGCATAGCTCGTCCTCGTTTTGCATATCCCCACGGCGTGTACCGTACACTTGCTTCTTTCCTGCTTTCATAGCCATTGGCATAGGCATAACTCTACATAGCGTGTCCATACTCCATACACAAAGACCAACGATCATGCATTGGGTGGATCAGTACAATACAAAAACGTTGCTACTTTCTCTCTTTCACTCAATTCTTCACCTGCTAAGATACTAGGCATGACTGGATAGCTCATGAGAAAACATGAAAATTAATAAAAATAGAACAGAGATTCTCGTTATCAACCTTCAACCTTCATGAGTTATGTTTTGGGTAGTACATAGTAGTAGTGTGCTTGCTCAATAATAGTCCTAGGATGTTTCGAAGGTCATTCTGATCTCTAATCATGTATATACGGACTCCGTCAGCTCATGGATCTCCATGGCACGCTGTTGCTACTTCGTATACTATTGTTCCCTATTAGAGGCCGATAGGACTTAGTGGCACGCTCCGCGTTAGGCATCCTATCAATAGGAGCGACACTAGCTATGTGGATCAACTATGATGCTAAGGGCAATGTGTATGGTGATCACATGTTTAGTTGGACTACATTGTAACACCTACTGGCCTGTGCCAAAAACCATCAAACAACTTAGTAATAATGAGCTATGCAAATATCTAGGATGAATAGACAAATTTTCCGAGGCAGCCCTCGCATCCGACTTCCCCTCAGTGCAATCGATAAAGCCACACCTCGTCTCATTCCACTCCCGGGTCTCCTCGTCTTCTCCGCCCCCAAATGGCTCGTGCCTAAATCCGAAAGCCTTCCTAGAAGACCGGTATACTCCACAATTGGTTATCTGGAGCTCTTCCTCCATGAGGCCATATCGCGGGACTTATTGAAATCAACTCGGAACAAGAGATCCACCGTTTGGCTTGTAAGGCCTCCAGCAATTATAAGAT